CGCCCCCACCAGAGAGGGGGGGGTCAGGCGCGCAGGGATACAGGGGTTGCCCCGTTGCTGCTCGTCGAGGCGTCCGCCCATATCTAGTCGCTGGCAGGCGAAGGAGGACAAATAGGGGCGAAAGGGCTCCTCGAAACCAGCTGGAGGATGGCTTCGTTGTCCCGCTCGTCAAGGAAAGGCTGACGCGCGGGCGCGGTGGGACTTCCCAGTGCCGTCTGGAAGGTGGCCTCACTGTCGGGCCGCCAGTCGGGTTGGCTGTCGGGCTGGCCGTAGGGCTGGCCCTGGGACCGGGCAACAGGCAAGGCCTCAGGTGGAGTGTTGGGTAGGGCGTCAGGTTGGGCGTCGGAGGCGGTGTCTGGTGAGTCGTCTGACTGATCGTGGGGCTGGTCGTGGAGCTGGTCATAGGACTGGCCGTGGAACTGGCTGTCGGGCTGGCCGTTGGGCTGGCAGTCGGGCTGGCCGTCGGACTAGTGGCAGGGCTGGCAGTCGGGTTGGCCGTGGGACTTGCGGTCGGGCTGAACGTGGGGCTGGCTGCAGGGATGGTCGTGGGGCTGGCAGTTGGGCTGGCAGTGGAGCTGGCCGTCAGAATGGCCGTGAGGCAGGCCAAGGGGCTGGCGGTCAGGCTGGTCGTGGGGCTGGTCGTGGGGCTGGCCGTGGGGCAGGTCGTGGGGCAGGGGGTCGGGCAGGCCGTGCGGCTGGCAGTTGGGCTTGCCGTCGGGCTGGCCGTCGGCCTGGCCGTGGGGCGGGCGTGGGGCTGTCGGTCGGGCTGGCCGTGGGGCCGTGGGACTGGAAGTCAGGCCGGCCGTTGGACTGGCCGCGGGGCTGGTCGTGGGGGTGGTTGCGGGGCCGGCCGTGAGACTGGCCGTGGGGCAAGCCGTCAGGCTCGCCGTGGGGCTGGCACTCGGGCAGGCCGTAGGGCTGGCCGTGGGGCTGGCCGTCTGGCTGGCCGTCCGGCTGGCCGGGCTGGCCGTCGGGCTGGCTGCGGGGCTGGCCGCGGGGCTGGCCGTGGAGCTGGCCGCGGGGCTGGCAGACGGGCTGGCCACGGGGCGGGCCAACGGGCTGGCCATAATTAGCCGGGCCGTGGGGCGGCGGCGGCGGGGGCGCACGGGGCCGCCAGAGGTCGATCAGCCGGCGCCGACGGCGCCGGCACCGGCCGCGGCCCGGCGCCCGCGGGGGCCCTGCTGGGTCCGCCGCGGCAGCGCCAGCCGCCGCGGTGGGGGCAGCCAAAGCAGCGGCGGCAGCAGGAGCCACCACGCCTGCGGCGCTGGCGGCCGAGCTTGCAGCCGCCGCGGCCGCGGCGTCGGCCGCCGCGCGAACGGCCGCAGCGCCAGCGGCCGCGGCAGCGGCGCGGGCAGCGGCCTGCCCCAGGGGCGGCCGCGCGGGCCACGGTGGCCGCAGCGCCAGACGAGCAGCGGGCCGCGGAGGCGGCAGCCGCGTCAGAGGCGGCCGCGGCGGCAGCGGTACCCACGGCGGGGCCGGCGCCCGCGGCCGCGGCGCCGGCGGCCGCGGCGGGGAAGGCAGCTGGCCACGCGGAGCCAGGGGCCGCGGCCGTGCGACGCGCGGTTCCGGCGGCGCGGGTGGTGGCCGGGGGCAGCGGCAGGCAGGGCGGCGGCAACGCGGCGCCGGCCAGAGCCACGCCAAGGGCGCGAGCGGCGGCCGCACGACGAAGCCGCCGACGCCGCGCCGTGGGCGCCTCGGCGCCGCCGCCACGCGGGCAGCGCGAGCGGCGGCAGCCCGGCGCCGCCGCCGCCACAGGGGACACCATCGCCCGGGGGCAGCGGCCGAGAGGGGAGGGAGACGAGACCCCCCCGTCCAAGCCGCCGTCGGAGGCCCGCGGGCGCGCCCGCCAGGCCGCGGGACCCAGGCCGTGCAAGCCACCTCGAGCCGAGACGGCTTGAGTCAGGCTTGAGGCAAGTGGCTACGGAGGCAGTTGGGGACACGCGAATCGTACACCGGACTCACTTCTATAGCGCTCACTTCTATAGTGCTCACTTTGAAATTGTGGTCCGGAAGGGGCCGCACATGCAGGCACATGCCGCACAGTCGCATGCACATGTCCATGCAAATATGCAAAAGCCTCAACAGTATTGCCGCACATGCGCGCACATGCCACACCGTCCGACGCACAGTCGAATGCACGGTCAAGCAAAACTCTGAAAGCATGGACGCACATGCCCGCACATGCCGCAGAGATGTCGCAGGCGATAGTGGCATGACCACCTGAGCTCGGGGCATTTCGCAACCCAGAGTTGCGAGGATGTCTCAGGCAAGCGTGGCCGGACCACCATGGTGCAGGGCATCTCGGAACCCAGAGTTGCGAGGGTCTCAGGCGAAAAAGGCCGAGACACTATGGAGCAGGGCATCATTGAGGTCAGAGTTGCGAGGATGTCTCAGGCGAAAATGGCCTGAACACCTCAACTCAGGGCATCTCGGGCGAGGATGTCTAAAGCGAAAGTGGTCTAACCACCTCAGCTCAGGGCGTCTCGGAACCCAGAGTCCCGAGGATGTCTCAGGCGACAGGGGCCGAGACACTATCGAGCAGGGCATCATTGAGATCAGGGTTGCGAGGATGTCTCAGGCGACAGTGGCTGACCACCTCAGCTCGGGGCATATCGGAATCGAGACTTGCGAGGATGTTTCAGGCGACAGTGGCCTGACCAGCATGGGGCAGGAGATCTCTGAGGTCAGAGTTGCGAGGATGTCTCAGGCGAAGGTGGTCTAACCACCTCAGCTCAGGGCGTCTCGAAACCCGAAAGTGGCTGGGCCACCATGGGGCAGGGCATCTCCGAGACCAGAGTTGCGAGGATGTCTCAGGCGAAGGTGGCCAAATCACCCCATGTCAAAGCATGTCGGCCTCCAGATTGCCGACGACGTCTCACGCGGAACCGGCCAGACGCGAACGCGCTGGCGCCCGGAGACGAACGCCGGCCCCGGCATTCTTGCACGTCCCGCACATGCCCCGCACAGGTACGCACAGTATTCGCACAGGCCGAGCTCGCCAGTGGCCGAGCCAGGCTAGCGATTCCGAGATTCCCTGAGCTCGGGCCGTCAAGCCACTTTCGCCTGAGACATCCTCGCAACTCTCACCTCCTCCTCCTCCTCCTCCTCCTCCTCCTCCTCCTCCTCCTCCTCCTTCTCTTCTGGCCGAGCCGAACAGGCGGGCGGGCCGGCCGAGCCGGGGGCGTCCGCCTCCTCGGCCCCCCCTCCTTCCCCCCCCCTCCACCTCCCCCCCCCCACCCCCGCTTCTCCGGCCGAACTGAGAAGGCGCGCGGGGGAGTGTTTTACCAGGAGGGCACGCCACCGCCAGCTCACGAACCGGGCGAAGAACCGCCCCCGCCAGCAGCGGGCGAGTCTAAACGCACAACAAACTCTTTCAGGAAACCATGGCACGCCCCAGGTTAGCTCTGCGAAGGCCAGGAGGCATTGGAGGCACAGGGGTCCCAGACAGCTCTTAGGGCATGAGCGTGCATGTGCATTGGGGTGTGCACGCATGTGCGCCCGCGCGCTTCACCGCATGTGCGTGCATGTGCGGGCCCGCGCGGCCTCCCGAAGAGAGGTTGCACAGGCATGTGCGTGCATGTGCCGATGACAGATCTGCGATTCTCGAACACCTCCCGCATGTGCAGGCATGTGCGCGCATGTGCGTCGGATTGTGCGTGCATGTGCGTATGATGGATACATCAAAACACAGCGCACATGCCCCCGCACATGCCCGGGCACGACGTGCACAGTAGGAAGTCCATCCAAAAAGGGCCGCACAGGCCTGGCACATGACTGGCACATGCCGCGCACATGCGCGCACATGACAGCGCAAAAACGGCCGCACATACACCCACCCAGGGGTATAGATGTGAGTGCGGTGTAAAAATAACCCACACGATGCCGAAAAAGGTGACTCTGAGATGTTGACCGAAGGTATATGGTTCCTTCGGTTGTTATGTTTGCTGTGGGCCGTGGTTGTCTGTTAGACGTCGTCGGGGTCTAGACTGCACGTTTCCATGTTTAGCGTAGCGATCGTGTGGTTAGTCGTCGGAACTGAATCGATTGCCATGCTGAGTATGCGCGTTGCGCGGAACGCAGTAACGTAGAGCCGTGCTGTTTATACCTATGGTCGGTCGAAGTAGGTATGTGGTTAGTAAAGGAAGCCGGCGTGCTTGTACTTTTAGATCCACTGCTGGATCTCATCTCACTGTTGAGCATGAGCCTGTTGCCGGGTCATGCATGCAAGCTTCCCGGCTCTGTTCCCCGAAGGGATATCGGCGCATGGTAGCCCATATTGGTTATTGCATAAACCCCGAGTGAAATTGCAAGCAACAGAGCTAGACACACAAGTGTATAACCAGCTCCGCTACGAAATGGAAAAGAAGCCATGGGTGGATGGTAAGCCCTGAGACGGATATAGAAGCAGATAACATGTTTTCCTCTACGCATTAGAAATAATAATCATGAAATTAAACGTGGTATCCTGTCCTGGTGTCGATGTCCTTGCGCCAGAAAGGCAGCGGATGCGCTCGCTCCTGCTTTGCCGCCGCTCGCTATCACAACGGGAACTTCTCTTAAAACTAAAACCGAAAACCCCCAAGGCAGGTAGCAGAGCTCCAATATATGGACGACGATTGCCCCGACACGGCCCTCCAACCAGCCCCTAAGGAGTCACGGACTCCAAAACGGCTTCGGAGAAACCTATTAGAGCCGGGCCAAGTTGAACTATATGAGGTGGTCTCTTGAACTGTAGTGGAGCCAACTTGGGCCAACATATTTGTCATATCGGGGCGTATTGGGGCAACCTTGGACAATCCTACGTGAGTCGTTGTGGCGCCTCTGCGCGCTGTGTGGCTGTGTGGGGGCTCTTGGGATTGTCATGAGCCATCTTGAAGACAGGTTGGGCCCGCCGCGGATCTCCAGAGATTCGACCATCGTGGGCCTCCAGAGGGCAAACTACTCTGCAGACCCCTCAAAGAAAGCACCAGACGTTACGGTCCCCCAAAACCAGAAATGACTCCTTCTCCAAGCTGAACGCGTCGAGCTTGTCGTCGCACTCGGAATCGATGAGCCTGAGGGCATACCAATCGTGCTGCAGCACAGGCGCGCAGGAGTAAGGCAGGCATGTGGTACAGGGCAGCAGCGAGACAGGGAAAATTTGGATAATGTGTGATCGGAACTCATGGACGCCCGATGCTGGACCCTCCTGTCCACACCGGGATGCTACAGCACACTCCTGGAGCAGGACTGAAGGAACGAGAAATCGAAAGACCAATTGAAGACATTTGCGTGATCGCCAGAAGGCATGATCTTGACATTTCCTCACCTCTGCTGCGAGCAGACGCCCACACCGAACATGGCCAATCCATCCCGCCCCATCCACCTTCTTGTCGCACCACCCCTGGGAACTCCATGGAGGCAACACTCCCTGCCTTCTCGTGTCTCCACATCAACCCCATTCTCTATGTCTGGAGCAGCCCGCTGCCCTGCTCTACTTCCCTGTCTAAATTTCAACCTTATCCAGCTCTGTGAGGCGATTTGAATTCGATGCTGGCAGAACTGTTGACCGTCAACGTCATCAACACGTGCGTCCATCCGCGAATGTGTGCATCGCCTGCGTCTGGGTGGACGCAACTAACGCCCATGAGCGATACTGTTCCTGCGTTTCGAGTGGTGCAGACCACTCGGGCCTGTCAGCTCATGGAGCTCGGACGATGAACTCCAGAAGTGTACCTATCAGCGCGTGCATCCGCTCGGAGAACGCCACCCCTGCCTGCCCCACTCGGCCCCGATCTTCGACAGCCCCCCACGCCGCCTCATGATCGCGCACATCTCCTCCTCGGTGCCGATGGTGTGGGTGATGTCGAACGTGTCCAAAGCCATCAACAACCCCCTGGCGTCAATGAAGCCCTCGGTAGGCGGCAGACCCAAGTCCCGCTCTCCTCACTCCTCTCCTTCAAGGTTCCCGCCTCTCCCTCCTCCGCGCTCCCGTCTCCCAACTGCCCATCCCATCAACAGGCCCGCTGGCGATCCGTCAAAAGGGAATAGATGGGAGATGGAGAGGGGATTGGGAAAGGAGAGGAGAAGAGGAGGGATGGACCAAAAACGGAGGGGGGGAGGGCATGCGAAGGAGTGCCATGTACTGAAGACAAGCAAAAAAGAATAATACGTGTGGCACACAACTGCGCCACCATAAGAAATTGTAATTTCCGTTCGTTCCGCCCAATTGTTATCCATGAGAACCCGCCGGCCACCATGACCCAGGCAACACCACGAAAGCTGCATCAGCCGTGAGCCTCGACGCGAACGAAGTTGAACTAGGTCCCCCGGTGCTGCGCAAGCGCAACGCCGCACACGGCGGTGCCAACGCTCAAGACTTCGCCCAATGACCCGAAACACCACGCAGGCACAGCACACACGCGGTCCAGCAAAATGGGTGGCCCCTAATCCGTGGGCCATGGCCGATGCCAGTCCGCGGCGACGTCTGCCCCGCCCCGCGGCCCGCGGCTTGCCTGGGTTCGAGCCCAGCTGGGAAAAATTCGCTGCCCTTTCAGGGCAGAGTAGCTGCACATATGATGCGCACGAATAATACGCGCTGCGCCCCAAACCATGATTTGAACAACGCACGAAACAACCTAGTAAACGCCGATCATGGAGATCGCTGCGGTCCTTGCTCTCTTGAGCCCTCTCCCACTGTCCACAGCACAAAAGAATTGTCGATATGGGAAGATTAAGAAACACTGAAGTTGCGGGGAACATTCTGACAAACACGAACCCCCTCGACTTGCGTAAAAAGGTTGCTGGCCTCCCCGGCCGCTGCTTTGAACAACGGTCCTCATCATGAAAGCCGAGCACGGTCGCCAGGGCTGCGACGCACACCAACCATTGGGGCTGTCTGGTTTTGGGTGTGGCGCACCAGCACTGCGATTTCTCATGGCTTGCACTTGCTCAGTCGACGCCATGCGCTTACGGATGCCCAAGCTACGGGGTTATTGTTATGAGATCTATGCTTTCGCCTCCTCATGTCCTTCTTTCTCTGCCCCCTTAATCTCGCAGTTGGCACTCCACACTCCCACTCACATGCGCTCTGAGCTTTCACGCTTGCGCGCGCTCTCACTCTGCTGGCAATTCCCAAGATAAGGAGCAAGGAGGCATGATAACACTAAGGGGGAGGGATGACTAGGGAGGAGGGAGGAAGGAGGGAAACGGGGGATACTAGAGGCACAAAGAGAGACGGGGGAGAAGGAGAACGGAACATGCAGGGAGCAAGAGGAGACAAACGATATGGGATGGGTTCAGAGGGCGACCGTCCCTTCAGTTTGCCAATGCAGCGCCTCAGCGAAACGCGCAAGGCATGACTTGCAGTAGCTAGGCAGCAGTCCGCGCCAATAATGCAAACAAGCGCGCCTCCAGGCGCAGCGATCGTGAGTACACAAATGTTGTTATGGAAACAAGACGAGTTGGCAATGCATGTCACATCCGGTTCGTTACAATACTCGGAGCTGGCGTGTTGACCTGGTGTGGCAAGGACAGGACGGGCGAGGGGGTCGGACGATAGGAACAAATTGGGAAGGGCCAGGAAGCGGAAGAACGCGGATAGGTGAGGTAATGGCCGAGGCGATCAGTGCAACTCGCGCAACCGAGCAGGCACAACTTGCGCGATCCGAAAAAAGAAACGGCGGCTGGTCCGCCATGCCCCCGCCAGCGAAACGGACCAGCGAAACGCAGGGGCGTTCTTGGACAAGCAGCTTGACAGTGACTGCCAGCGCCCCCGCGGGTCGGCAGGAGCTGGGACGCGGGGCGCTGCTCTGGCCAGGCGGAGCGCAAACGTCTCAGCGAGCGTGCAACGAGGAAAAGAGGGTTCGCTGGGCTCTCGCGCGCCGCCCCTCGCTCGCCGCGGAGGAGATCTCCTCTCTGCGCCACGTTTGGCTGCGTGACACTTCGGCCGCGAGACATGTTTTGGCAGCTGGTCCGCCGGGAGTGAGCTCCAGTACTCGGCGATGCTCGAGCTCTTCTTGAACGCGGGCGAAGCGGCGCCCCGAATGCGGGCGCGGGCCTGGTCGGCCAGTGGCAATTCTGGATTGAGCTGTTCCTGAGCAGCGACAAGAGCATTGAAAGCGGTGGGCCGCGAGGGATTCGCGACTGCAGCAGCTCGCTAGGCGGACGCCAGCGATAATGGCGCAAGCGCGGCAAGGGAGGAGTTCTGAGACCACGGCCGAGGACCGAGAAGGTCGACGAAGCGCCAGAAGCTACGAAGGGCGCGTGCAACCTCGCGCAATGTGCGGCGCTCGTGCTAGAGAGTTGAGAATGGAAGCGATTGCGTGATATCAAAAAGGACAAAAATAATGCGCGCGCGTGATGGTGATTGATGGCCACTGTTGGCCCTGGCACGGAAACCGCAAGCTGCGCCACCAGAAGCCAGAATTTGTCGAATGCAGCCTTCCATTGGCGATCGAGCGACACCGCTGGCACCCGTACGGCGCCTAGCTCTCTCGCATATTCCGTTTTGTTGTACATGGGCCCAGTCATATGCCATGGAGACAAAGCCTGGCTTGGCGACTGAATGGGTCTTTGGTGTGCGTTCCGCGGGGGGAGGCACTTCAATGGTTTCCGCTGGGGAGGAGATCGCGCGAGACAGGGCAGGGTGAAGCCATCGCCATTGAATGCGAGGTGGTAGCGGCCCAGGTCCGTCGTAGCAATGAGAAGGCAGCAATGTCACGACCACGTCGCCATATCACTCTGTCAGTGGACCGCGCGGCGATCAAGCGGCCGCTGCGAGCCCAACGGTTGCGGGCCTTCAGGGAGGCTCCTTTTTTAAGATTGCGTGAGACGAGCCGCCTCCTTCATGATGGGCTTGCGTTGCCTCCGCGCCGTCGTCACAATAAGTGGGCATTGGCGATGTGGTTCCCCGGGAACTGGAAGTGCGTCTTGTAGGTCGGGTCGCAGAAGATGGTGGGGTCAACGGGTCGCCCCTCGACGCGCGTGGCTTTGCCTGCGGTCAGGGGCAAGTGCAGGATGGTGTGGTCAGTGACGCCCTGGTCGGAGAGAGCGGCGTCACCTGCGTGAATTTCCAGGTTGGCGCCAACGCTGCGGAGGTCTATGCCCGTCAGCGATAGCAGATGCTATCGATGGCCGTGGCGGCTTGCGCGTTCGCCAAGAAGTGCGCGGGATACACCTGCGAGATATATGTCATAGAGGTGGACAGCTGCCGCCAACGTGCACGTTCTCGTTGCTGTCGAGCATCTGGCGCCATAGGTCGCCAACGCGAGGGCAAGCCAAGAAGTTTAAGCATGGGATGGCGCTCGTGCTGATATTACCCATGGCCGCAGACACGCTGAAAAAGGCTGCCTCGCGCCCATCTGAGTGCTTGGTGCAAGGCAGTTGCCACATGCCCCAAGTCTTCAGGCTGTGTGTCATCATGGTTGTGAACACTAATGAGCATAATCTCGAACTCCACGTCGTGGCTGGTGATGTTCAGCGTCGCGACTTGGCCTGGACAAGTGGCGAGAAGCTGGCAGAACACCCCAGTATCACTCCAAAACTATACCAAAAATCCAAAAAGGCTCCCCGATGGCCCACGATGGCCCGAAGACGGCCCGAGAGGCCTGCAAGACTGCCACAGGATGGCCCCACGAGGGGGCCCAGAGGGGAGACCCGAATAAACATGTCGAGCTCTCGGCCCTAAGAGGCGTCCAGGAAGCTCCGAGAGCCCCCAGAAAGCCCCCCAAGAAGCCCCAAAAGGCCTTAAGAGGCCCCCAAAGACGCACCCCAGACCCCCAACATGCCCCCAGGAAGAGCCAAGGGGCCCCCAGCAAGTCTCCAAGAGGCCCCCCAGAGGCCTCAAACCTGCTCCACAAAGGCACCCGAAAGCCCTCCGAAAAAGACCTGAGACGCATCCATGAGGACTCTGAACCACAAGCCAGGTACGTCTCAAAACTGTGCTGGAGCTCTCTTGGGCCATATAGGCGCCCTCCATCGGCTCTCTTCGACAGGGTGCGAGCCAAAGCTCCAAAGATCTCCTCGAAGACAGCCCTGCCCGCCCTACATTTCCCCGTGGGCACGAGCATACCACCATGCAACCACCGTTATGCAGACTGCAACATGCTCGGCCTGAATGAACAGAAAACCCGCCCAACAAAGTTAAAATTGCACGAAGCCCCGACGCTCCTGGCCACCTCTAAAGCGGAAATACTCTCTCTTGTCGGGATTGCCAGGCTCGTAAGCCTGTGGTTTCTTGAAGGTCTCACCTTCCTCGTCAGGGACGTCAGCTGGTAACGCAACCGTCGCTGGCGACGATGGCAAGGGCTCATCACCCTTTGGGACCGCCGCCATGAGAATGAGGCCAACCTTCTGGCCGTCCTTGGCGGCCCAAATCTTCTGTTTCAACTCTTCCAGAGTGCCAGGAGAGCCATTGACTTGTACGATTCTGTTGTATTCCCTGACTCGCTTGTCTGGATGGGTGTCACTCCACTCTCTCACAATACCCTTGCCCCCAATGTGCGCTACCATCAAGCTTCTAGAATTGTCCGACTGCCTGGTGTCGATCCCCACTCCGTCCGCGGCCTTGACGATCTTGATCGAGTATGCAGCCGGTCGATGGAGCTCCATCTCGAGATCCTGCGCCTACTGCATCCGCCGCAGGCTGCTCGAAGCACTGCCCCGTGTGCCATTGACAGCGATGATGTGGTCACCCTCCGTTTCGATCTGTGACAGCCTGACAGAATAGCCATCGCTGTCGTCGAATTGGACGCCGGAAGGAACGGCCTCCTCCTTGCTGATGTTGACGACAAAGCTGTCGATGGCTGTTGCAGCGATCGCTGCAGACAATGTCCATTGGCCAAGGCCAGCGGCCAGCTTCTCACAGCCGCTCCAGAGATCTCGATAACCAATGAATCGGGATACAAACTGGCAGAATGGACTTAAGCCAAACTTGCTGTGGTGAAGAAGCCAAATAGCAGTTCTACGGCCAGTTGGGCTTGAGCCCCTCCCTGCTGGCTGACGTGGTATCTGAAATGTGTATGATATGTTGCCGACCTGCCTGAGTGTCGAACGCGGCGCTCTCACACAACAAAGTCCAGCCAACTGAGCTCCCGTTGATGACCGGCGTTGGCAAGCGCGGCGAAGATGTGAATGACAATCCTGTTCCCGCCGAGAGACGAAGGACGAGGGTAAACGGAAGCTTCGCGTTGACTTTCGTCTTGCGGGTTTTCGGAGGGGGGGGGAAAATTGGGACGGAGGGAGAAGTGGATGCGAGGATAGAGGAGAGAGGGAGGGAGGGCGAGGCGAAGAGAGGGGGGAGGGCGAGGGACAAGGGAGACAGAGGCCCAGAACGCCCTCAAAAGGACAGAATAATGATTCGACCGAGCTTCGCCAAGGAGGTTTTATAACCCTATTAAGTCCTCAAGACGACCCCAGACTGCTTATAAGCCACCTAGCGGCCATAAAAAACGGCACGAATCGCTCTCCTCCTCATCCTCCTCCTCTGCCTGTCATTCCTCGGGCCATCCACCCTCCTCTTATTCATCCCTCTAGAAGAATCTGCTCCAGGGGGGGGCTGCTCGAAGGGAGGCAGGGCCCTTTCACAAAGCCGTGCGTCGGAGCGCATCGTTAGCGCGCCAAGTCTCCGTCGTCGTCGCCAGCGGCGTCGTCGTGGTGCGCATCGCTCTGCTCGGGAAGTGGTTCCCTTACGCAGTGACCACCACCACCCCTCTCTAGAAGCCTTTCCAGACGACATCCCCCTCCTGGATGATCGACTGGGCCAACGCTGGCCCTACTCCTCCTCCTGCTACTGCCTCCTGCAGTCCTCAAGAGGCCTAACCGTGTTAATATCTTGTTTAGCCGCTGTCGGCGGCGGCTCCTGCCATTCGGGCCTGCTATCGTGCCTGAATTCGGTCGGCCAGAGCTTGCATTCTAGAGTCTGCCCACTCCCTCCTTCACTTCCCGCCTCCTCCAAGCCCCTCCTCCTGCTCCTCCACCTGCTCGTTCTCACCCGTCCTTCCTCCATCACCCTCCCTCGTTCTCCCCTCTCCTTCCTCCTTCCGTCCCACCCTCCAGCCTTACATCCTCCGTCATCTCTCTTTCTCTCTCTCTCTCTCTCTCTCCCCATTCTGCCCCCCACCTCTTCCCCCAGGAAGGAGCAGAAGGTCAAGCCACGAAAGAGCCAAGTGACGGGAGGAAGAGAGGACACTGGAGAAGGAGGAAACCGTCGTGCGGGTGCCGTCGTGACCGCGGAGGAGAATGGAGGAGGAGAGGGACGACGAAGAGCAGGAGCTAGGAGGGCAGACCAGCCCAGTGATCCACTGCTCCCCTCGCTATGGGCGCAGACCCCTCCCGCTCTGCCTGGTCTTGCGCCGCCTCCCTCCCCCCGTGCAGGGAAGGGAAGAGGGAGCAGGAGGAGGCGGACGACGGCGATGTCGGCGACGACGACGACGACGCTGGCGACGGCGACGGTGGACAAAGCGTAACGATGTTGGCGTCGGCGTCGTCGACGCTTGCGACGACAGACGGCGCTGGTGACAACGAGCGCGGCGCCCGGCCCAAGCGAAGGCGGCCGGCGCAAACGCGGAAGGCCTCAGCGTCGAGACCGCCCGTGGACATCAGCAGCCTGCGGACCGGCTGGAAGCGGTCCGAGCTGCAGTCGCACAGCGCGGAGAGGAGGGCATAGGCACTCTTCTGCGCGGCAGCGGTCGTCCGCGTTGCCGCCATCGTGGTCGCCGTCGCCGCCGTCGCGGTATTGCTCCTGGAATTGTATCCTCTCGCTGCACCTGCTTTTCTGCCTCGTCCTCCTGCTCCTGCTTCTCCTCCTGCTGCTCGTGCTGCACCAGATGCCCCTCCTGCTCTTGCTCTTCCTCCCTTCTCCAGCTCCTACTGTCGCTCCCCTTCCTCCCCGCTTCCCCTGTCCCCCCTGCGTCTCCTCCCCGCTTGCCCCACACGCCTCTCGTGCAACTCTTGCCTCTTCTCCTCCAATCCTCACCTTCTCCTCGTATGGAAGACGATCCAATAGCGTCCAAGAGGCTCGGGGTATCATTGGCCGTCTTTGTGGGGGCCCTCGGGGTTGGCCCAATATAGCTCAAGACAGCCGCAATCCAGCCCCAAACTGCCCAGAGCAGGCCCCGAGACGGCCTCCGAAGGCGGCAGATGGTACAAGAACTCCCGAGGACGGCCCCAGAGAGCCCCACGACGGCCCAAGAATGCCCCAGCAGGCCCAAAAGCCAAGAAAGGACCCTCCCCAAGACAACCCAACGACGGCTTCTGAAGTACTCCCCCACCGGTTTCCCCGACGGCCGAGGGAATACGCAGCCAACCAGAGTGGCCTCACTTCCGCCCGACACTTCACGACACAGGCGCTCCCCAAACGCGCGAAGCGGCGGTGACCCGCCGCAAATTTCTTCAACACTCGAACTGCATTTCCAACGAACTGCTCGCCAATTGCCACAACAGGCAGGGTAGGTGGATGGCGCGAGCATCGCAGCGCAACCAACGTACCCCACCAGAGGGGCGCAACATTGGCCGTGCGAGTTCCACTGATTACCAACTCGATCCGCGTTCGCCCGAGTCTGCCACATGCACTGGCAAGAGACAATCATGGCAGTTACCATGCATGTTCTCAGCGAGTGAGCCACGTGTAGGCAAGAGCATGTTCTCAGGCATTGCATGGCTTGCCTGAGAACATGCTCTCGCCCGAACGTTACGTTTACCCTGCCCACCCCGCCCGAGTCTCAAGCGTTGATCCCAGAAGGCCAACGTCTCGCACAATGCGTCGCTCTTCTGCAGAATATGGAAGATTCCGGCGACGCATACCTCATTATTGTTAGAAGGGATGGCCCGAGCGGTCTCACAGTGTTCCTGGATGCGTTGCGGAAACAAGGTTCCACGTACGTTGTCGTCCCTACACGGCCCGACCCTGGACCCAGAGACCCGCCACGCGACCGAACCCAAGAAACGCCACGCGAGCCGCCTGCGACCCGCCCCGCAACCCGACCGCGGCCGCCGCCATGCCGCGAACCACTGAATGGAATGGCTGCATGTCTTCTTGAATTCTCTGAAAACATGTTGTCTGTTGGCAGGCCCTAGTTCTGGATTCCCAGTCCGCCGGCCCCCTTGTGGGGCCACCAGGCTGCGAGGCGCGTGATTCGCAGTTTCCTGTACCAGTTGTAGTTTGTAGTTTCCAGTGTTACAATTCTGCTTCTTGCTGGTTACTGTAACTAGTTGACTTCTTGCTGGTTACTGTAACTAGTTGATTGACCGCGCGAGGGGGGGGAGGCCCAAACGGGATTTTTAGCGTCCCCTGGGCGCGTTGTCTGAATTGCTGGGGGGGCTCGAAATCGACACCCCTCACGCAGATCCGCGGGGTCAGGGTCCAAAAACACATGGGATTTGCCACATTTCTGAAATTCGGTGCCACCCCTCACGCAGATCCGCGGGGTCAGGGTCCAAAAACACATGGATTTGCCACATTTCTGAAATTCGGTGCCACCCCTCACGCAGATCCGCGGGGTCAGGGTCCAAAAACACAGGGGATTTGCACATTTCTGAAATTCGGTGCCACCCCTCACGCAGATCCGCGGGGTCAGGGTCCAAAAACACATGGGATTTGCCACATTTCTGAAATTCGGTGCCACCCCTCACGCAGATCCGCGGGGTCAGGGTCCAAAAACACATGGGATTTGCCACATTTCTGAAATTCGGTGCCACCCCTCACGCAGATCCGCGGGGTCAGGGTCCAAAAACACAGGGGATTTGCCACATTTCTGAAATTCGGTGCCACCCCTCACGCAGATCCGCGGGGTCAGGGTCCAAAAACACAGGGGATTTGCCACATTTCTGAAATTCGGTGCCACCCCTCACGCAGATCCGCGGGGTCAGGGTCCAAAAACACATGGGATTTGCCACATTTCTGAAATTCGGTGCCACCCCTCACGCAGATCCGCGGGGTCAGGGTCCAAAAACACATGGGATTTGCCACATTTCTGAAATTCGGTGCCACCCCTCACGCAGATCCGCGGGGTCAGGGTCCAAAAACACATGGGATTTGCCACATTTCTGAAATTCGGTGCCACCCCTCACGCAGATCCGCGGGGTCAGGGTCCAAAAACACAGGGATTTGCCACATTTCTGAAATTCGGTGCCACCCCTCACGCAGATCCGCGGGGTCAGGGTCCAAAAACACAGGGATTTGCACATTTCTGAAATTCGGTGCCACCCCTCACGCAGATCCGCGGGGTCAGGGTCCAAAAACACAGGGGATTTGCCACATTTCTGAAATTCGAACCCATCACGCACATCCATCGCAAGGCGTGGTAACCCAAACTGCGAGAACTCCCTCGGCCCTTTCATCGCAAGGTGTGGTAACCAAGCCCTTAAACCATACACGTCTTACCAATCGCCAGGTGTGGTAACCCCTCTTGTGATCAGTTGGTTTTGCTGATTGCGACTCGGCTTCGCATGAAGTTTCGATACTGCTTGACGACAGCGCCAAGGCCTCATGACTTAGCTCTTCCATGGCCCATTCTCCGAGAGAGGGGGCCGGCGGCAGGGGGCGAAGCCCTTACGGATATTATCGGGCCCTTCGGGAATCGCCGTGTGATGTTTCAAGGCCTTGGCAGCGTGGCTGGGAGTCCGAACGTCGAGCATGCCCCACGATGCTCGCATGGGACCGTTCCTGGGGCTCTCCTGGGACAACGAAGTCTGAAACGTCCAGACCCCTTACGTGTTGATATTGTTTCGGGTATTCAGCTTTCTGAAATTAAGATCGTTCAAGGCGGCCCAAGAGACCTCCCAGACACACCCCACGATTGCCCCCGATGTTCCCAAGAGGGGCCCATGGGACCCAAGAAGCGTCCAAGAAGGGGAACTCAAACTAACACTTGGAGCCCTCCACTTCTAGCTGGCCGCCGAGACCACCAGAAGGCCCCAAGAGATCCCCCAAGGGACCTCGGGAGGCCCCCAAGAGGCATGCAGAGGCCCCATAAGCATCGAAGAGGCCTTTTGTCCACGACCCAGGAACGGTGGTAGGGTGGGCACAACATCACTTGATGTTTTCCGTTGCGTCCATCACCGAGCCACGGCCTTTGTCTACGCCTGGCTTTCCAGCAGCGACGGCGGCCCAGGGTCGAGCAAGGGTCGTGCCGATGGCGCTGGCCTCGACGTCGCCCAACAGCCGCCTTTGCTGCGGAGACTTCCTCTCGGACTCTCGGGCCCAGTTTGGCTCGAGAACTCCCTGGAGTCACCCCGCCGCCGGCGGCCTCCCCCTGGCTGAACGATCACTCGGGCAACACGGCGCGGCGCCTCGGCGCGCGAGCCGCCATGCGGGCGGCTCCAGGCTGGCAAGTCCACGACCATGGCAACGTCAAATGATAGCAGGTTTGTGTCGCGACGACTTGCGCAAAGGTCTCTGATATCCCGCGGATCGTTCAACCTTGAGCGATCGCGGCGTCCCGACAGCGCCGATCGTTCGACATCGGCCGACTCTCGGCTACCGACGGCGCTCAAGCCTTGAACACCCGCGCTAGCGTCGCCGCCGCGTCGGCTCGGCGCTACCCTGCCGCACCTCCGAAGGGGCCGCGTGGGCCAGCGGCCTCACCATGGTGGCGCCGTGCGGCGCCCAGCCCGCTGAGCTCAGAGGGCCAGCTCGAGGTCGCAGTCGATGGCCAGGAGCCAGGCCTCGATCGCGAGGGGCTGGCCGCCGGGCGCCCGAGCGCTGGGCAACAGCACCTCGGCCCTCTCGCCGAGTCGCATGCGAACCACGCCCTCCTCCACGCCCTCGGGAAGGTCCCCGGCGCCCACGGTGAAGGTAGCCGGCCTGCCGCGGGGGAGCCCCGCGGCCGTGGCCGAGGCGCCCTCGAAGCGGAGCGTCACCCTGTCGCCGAACCTCGGGCCTCGCGGCCCCGACCCGGGCTCGAGGGTGCGCACGCGCACCGCCACGCTCTCGACCGCCTCGCAGCTCAGCAGCGTGGCGTTCACCGCCGCCGCCCGGCCGGCCAGGGGGTGGTTGAAGTCCAGCGTCGCGGTCGGGCCGTCCACCCTCAGGATCTTGGCCGCGCCGCCGTCCAGGAAGACACTGTCGCCCGCGGAGTGCCCGGGCGGGAGGTCCTCCACCGGCAGGTCCAGCACACGGCCCTCGTCCCACCCGCCGAAGAGCGACCCGCCCGCGGCCGCGAAGCGCAGCGTGCGCGTCTCGCCCGCCCGCATGCCGCGGATGCCCTCGTCAAGCCCTGGGGCTACGTCCCCGCCCCCGCACACGAACTCGAGCGCGCGGTTCAGCTCCACCCCGTCGGCGGCGCCCGCCTCCTCGAACTCGTACTCCATCACCACGCGGACACGCACGCCGACCTCTTGGAAGAAGAAGGGTGAGACACCATCGGACTCCCCCCCCCCCGCCTGGCCCGAATCCGCTCCCAAGTCGGTCCCCGGCTGGACCCCTCCCGGGGCCCATCCTGACCTGTCCTCCGGCAGGGAGGCGAGGAACGGAAGCCTCTGGGAGGCGCATGTGGCGACGAGGAAGCCTCCGGGAGGCGCATGTCAGCAATCGGCAATCCCAGAGCGGGCGCGCCAGGAGACCAAATGGCCGAGCAATCTGGGGTGGAACCCGCGAGCGCCCCTGATGCTGCCTTTTGGCCAGTCGCAGCCGCGGGCCGTGGATCCTCGCACTGCCGCGGGAAAGGCCCCAGAACCGAGAGCGGGCCCTCCTCCCATGGATACTATGTGTGCGTCGCCCCCTCCTTCACAAGGGCGCCTCGCACGCCGAGAATTTTTGTTAGTCAAATTCCGTGGCGGGCGCTTTCCGGCCATACCGCTCGGGAAATGATATACTACAAGATGGATGTACAATGCACTGTGTGTCCGGGTCGGACGCACGCCTCCGAGGAGCACGCGTAATGCTAGCGTGTCCTTCTGCGTCCCATCCCAGCCTCCGCGCGCTCGGCCGCTGCGCGATCGGACGCCCGGCGCGCCGCGAGGGGCGGCCGCTGCAGACGGCTGCCGAACGCGCGGCCGCTCCCGCGGGCGCCGCGCGCTTGCAGCGGCGCAGCGGCCCGCGCCAGCGCGGGCCCCGCGGGGTGTCCGCAGCCCCGCCGCCGCGGGGCCCAGCAGAGAAGGCAGGGCAGGAGCGCCAGCGCCGCGGGGGGCGGCGGCCCGCGCCGCCCCATCGCCGCTCACGGCGCCAAAGAGCCCGCGGGCGCGGGCCCTCCCCGTACTTCGATGATTCACCCATGTGCGCAACACGTATGAATGTGTAGACATATAGGCATACATACATGTAAGTGTGTATATATATATATATATATAAATATCCTCACATGCATATACAGCTACCTACGTATACATATATATATATATATATATATATATGTATATATGTATATATATACACATTTGTATACACATAAACGTATACATATATGTACTAGAACCACGCGCGCGCTTCGCGCGCGCTTAGGTTCTAGCTAGGATCGTCACCGTCGTCATCATGAACATCACCATCGCCATCATTCCCCCCGCCAAGGCTAATGTACATCGTTTCTGGATGCTTCTGGCCGGAATACGAAGGGAGTTTCTGTAGTCAGAGTCTCCGGCGGAAGTCGCGGGGCCCCTCAGGATACTTACGGATGCCTCTGATAGTACTTAAGAAATGATGGACCCGTCATTTTGTACCTGTGCCTTGATCAGTGGGACGGGCTTCGCACCGCCGCACATCACAAGACACGCTCGAGCGGATCCAGCCGTGGCGACGTCGGGGACTGCAGAAGGTCGCAAGGACACGGAATCTGAAAGGAAGAGAGAGAGAGAGAGAGAGAGAGAGAAAGAGAGAGAAAGAGAGGGAGAGAGAGACAGACAGACAAAGAGCGAAGGAGAGAGAGAGAGAGAGATGGAGTGAGAGAGAGAGAGAGAGAGACACAAAAAATAATAAAGACAGAGCGAGAGAGAGAGAGAGAGGCAGAGAGAGGAAATGGAGAGGAGGCGAGCTTGAGTCAACGAAAGTCGCAGGGAAGGGGGCAAGGGGAAGAAGGCCAGAGAGCGCTGAAGGATACAAATACTGGAACCCTCTTGGGATTTTTTGGGGGGCCTCGTCCGGCCGCTCGCTGGGAGTTTGACGTAGCTTCTCGGGAGCCTCTGAACCTGTCGGGGGCCTCCTGGAAGCAGGTTCGAAGCATTTTGGAGCCGATTTGGGGCTTCTCGGGGCCTCCTTTGGGCCTCTTGGGGGTCTCCTGGGGCCTCTTGAGGGGCCTCCTCGGGGCCTCCTGGCGGCCTCTTGGGGCGGAAGGCTCGAGCTTGCGGTTCGTGGTCCCCCTCTGGGCCCCCTCTTGGGCCCGTCTTGGGGCCCTCTTGGGCCATCTTGGGCGCCTCTTGGGCCGTCTTGGGGCCCTCTTGGGCTGTCCTGGGGCCCTCTTGGAAGCTTCTTGGGCCGTCTTGGGGCGGTCTTGGGCGCCTCTTGGGCCGTCCTGTAACGTCGGAAAGCCCAAAAGACAACTTTGTGAAAAATGTACGTTTTACGAAGGGAATGGGCCAATTTTTGCGTCTAGGGGCCCTCTTGGGACGCATGTTGGAGGCTTCTTGGGGCGTCTTGGGGGCGTCCTTGGACGTCTGGAGGCCATCTTCAGCATCTTGGAGCCCTCCCTCTTGGAAGTTTCTAGGGCCGTCTTGGGCGCTTCTTGGGCCGTCTTGTCTGACCGGGGAGGCGTCCGGCAAGCCCCGACGAGCCTCCGGGCCCCCCGGGGCCCACATTTGTGGTCGAGGTCCCGGCCCCGGGCCCCCGGACCCGGTGCGCCGTTATATGTATACATAGCACCCCGCAATTGCGGATAAGAGTGAGGGGGCGGGCGCGGGCGACGCGGACGTCGTCGAGCCGGCGGACCTCGTGGCCCCCACCTTCCCTGTCGATGGCGCTCTCCTCCTCCTCCTCCTCCTCCTCCTCCTCCTCCTCCTCCTCCTCCTCCTCCTCCTCCGCCTCGTCGTCCTCGTCGTCCTCGTCGTCATCGTCCTCCTCCTCCACCTCGTCCTCATCTTCTTCCTCGTCCTCCCTCTCCCCCCCTCGTCCTTCCATCATCGTCCTCCCATTGTCGTGCACCCCCTCATCGGCCTCCATCATCGTCCTCCCATTGTCGTCCATCCTCCTCCTCCTCCCCCTCCTCCCCCTCCTCCCCATCCTCGTCCTCCTCCTCCCCCTCCTCCCCCTCCTCGTCCTCCTGCTGCTTCTCCTCCTCTTCCTCCTCTTTCTCCACATTATCCTCACATCCTCTCTTCTTTCGCGTCCTCCTCGCCCCCTGTTTACTCCTCCTGCCTCCCCCTCCTTTCCCAAGATAACGGCAACGCAATCCTTCTTTTCCACTTTATGCTCCCCGACTTCTCTGATCAAGGCAACCCGCCAGGACAAAGTTGCTGGACGTGCTGGTGTGGATGGGCGGGGTTTGAAGATGCCGTTGCGGGCGTAGACGACATGCAAAAATCCGCCGCCGCGCTTGTGCGGCATTGGTTTGTTCAGTGAAAGTGGTTTGGGTCGCGGGTAGGTCGCGGGCTCTCCACCTCCACCTGGAAGGAATGCAAAAGCAGCCCGCCGCAGGCGCCGAAAAATTTGGTTTGTACACTGATTGTGGAATGGGTCGCGGGTGGGTCGCGGGTTCTCCGCCGGGGACGAATGCAAAATATGCCCGCCGCAGTGACGCGGCGGCGTGCGCGGAGGAGGAGAGGAGAGGGGTCCTTTTACCTGCGCTCGGGACCGAAAGGGCTGCAGTGCAATGCAACATGCTTCTGATGCTACCCCTGCTACTGCTACCTGCTCCTACCTACTACCCCCTACAGTTACACAGATCATGCTATGGGTCTCAAAACCCCTCCACTCTGCCGAGACCTTGCTGGCTGGTCAGAGCCTGTACCTAGCATGACCTAGGCAAGAAGCGTCCTAAGAGTGCTCCCGGCCTCTCCGCGGAGTCAAGTCGCACTGTTCGTTTACTTACTGCGTACCCGTACCCCTTGCACGGACATACGGCGTGCTCACGGCACACTCCACCCGGCAGCTCCTAGCAGCCAGGCTTGCCAGCACCCGCTGGCGTAGCGCATGTATGGGGAGTCCACCACCATAGCCATGCGCGTTGGTATTGTGGGATTGTGGCAGGCTTCTGCTGCCTTCCCGGTCGCCGCGCTGCCGGCTAGGCGTGCGCAGCGTCCTCGTGTGCGGAGTCAAGCCCCGCTGTTGGTCGCGGACTCAGGGTCCACTGCTTGGTGTTGCTTGCGGACTCAGGGCCCACTACCTGCACGGGTTCAGCATCGTCGACGTTGGTCCACGCTCCGTCGCTGGTCCGCGCCGTCGCCGACGCTCCACCGACCGCGATCCACGTGCTCACTGGGCGCGTTGCCCGGGCCACGATCCTGCCGTCGCTGCCCGCGCCCGCGCCGCGCGCCCCCCGCCGCGGACGCGGGGCGCGCGCGCAAGGCGCGCCGCGCGCCGCCCAAGGAGGCCCCCAAGGCAACTCTGCCCCCGCGACCCCTGCCGACCCGGCCCCCGCGATAAAGGCCGCGCGGAGGTCGCGGTCCAGGGCCAGAAGCGCAACCAAATAAACGGTCTCCGCGGCGTCGTCCGAAACCGCTCCGGCGACGCCAACCAATAATGGGTCGCCGCGCTAACCATCGGGTGCACCGCCCACGCGCCCTCCACCAGTCAGATCATCTCCGCCCCAGCGCCAAGCCACGAAGTTTCGCCCCTCAGCGCGCGCACTCCCCCTGGGGCCTCCGCCCAGGCGCCCTGCCCCTCGTCGCCCACGCGCGTGGCGCGGCAGAGAAAGCGAGATGAGGAGGGGGGGGCGGGGGCGAAAATCATTGCCACCACGACAGCCACGCGGCCATGCGCCACTGCTGGCGCTCGCTCCGATCACTGTCGCGCGCCCAGGCTGGAACAGGGCCCGCGACAACCGCGATTGGACATGTCCCGGAAATTGGACGCACAACCCCCGCGGCAACGACAAATTCAGCCTCGCCTTTCTGGGGGACCTGGCCGCGGGACATCAGAACCGGATGCCAATGTCGCAACCTGGACATCGCCCGGGGCGCAGTCTGGCAGCAACAACGTAATCTCCAGTGCCGGGCAGCCGGGGGGGCGGGCCACAGCTGCAAGTGCCTCAGCGAGGCATCCTGGCCAACTGGGGACCACCCCGATTGCGCGGGCTCTATGACGGCACGGACCTGCGACGACGGCCCAATTACGCGCGCTTCGTGCGACCGCAGCGAAGTGCTTCCCACCCCAGAAAGTGCGCCGCTTGTTCGATCCACCAGCGCGCGCGCCGGTTGGGCGCGCCTCCCGACCCGCCTGGACCGCGTCCACTGCGAGGTATTTTTCGCCCCAGAAGGTGCCCCGCATCTCATGATCCATCTGTCTGCGCATGCGTTAAGCGCGCGTCGCTCGGCGCGCCCCCCGCCCCGCGGCGGCGCGCCGAACTTCGCCCCCCAGACGCGCAATGCACCCCGGGCGGTGCGCCTGGCTGCCGCGGGCGCGCCCCAGCTTCAGTTCAACCTGTCTGTGCACCTGCTAGGTGCGTTCTCACGGGCGCGTCGCCCACCCCAGTTGGCGCGCCTCTCCCTGCCCCTGGCGCGTCATCCACCCTAGGCGAGGTCGCCGCCGTGCGCTCTTGCATGGAACTGGCTCGCGCCTCGCTCGCCGACGACTCCTGGGCCCAGGCGCAGCTAGAGCTGAACGCGGGGGCCCGGGGCTGCGCCCCGCCGAGAAGCGCCGTGCACGCGGGCCACGCAGACGACGGCGCGGGCGACGCGGGGGGCCCGACCACGGCGCCCCAGGCCCTCAACGCCGGCATGGCGGAGGCAGGCCGCGCCCCGCGCTTCGATTCCGAGACGCACTCCAACCAGAAGGCTCTCTCGGGCAAGGTCGACGACGCCCTGCGCGCCGCCCTCTGTCTGGAACCGCCCCTCACCCGCGACGCGCGCCCACCTCGCCCTGGTGGCTGCGCCCGGCGCCGGCGCGCGCCTGCAGGCGCCCCCCATGCGAGGCG